GCAGGCGCTCCACGTGCGTTCGCGGGGTAAATGGCAGGTGACAGATCCATTTAAGCAAACCTTTTTCAACCTCTCAGTGACGCTTTTCCACCGAAACAGAAATTATAACGCTCTCACGTGGCATTGCACAGACCTTCTGGTGATTACAAGCACAGTCTGCTGCCCAGGTAAGCGGGTGCCGGGACACCGGAGATGGCTTAGTTTCTACCCCAAGGGCACCTCTCTTACAACTTTAAAAAAGTAAATACTGGGAAATGTGAGTTCACAACTGAGCTAATACTTGCAATCTATGAATACACACGTTCCGTTTTTCTTTGGGAAACCCAGCAGCATGTTGCCTTGATCTTATCTGTCCCGACACGCTCTGGAATTAGGACCCTCGCTGTTATTCTGAACGGAATCGGACAGATTATCATCAAAGGCAGCACGGGATCGTGGTTAAGATCCCCACTGTGGTCTGAGGTAGACCACAGAAGCCTGGCCCTGCCTCTGGCTGTATGACCCCGGACAAATCACTTCACTCCTCGGAGCTTCAGGACTCTCGTCAGTCCAGGAAGAGAAGCACGGCATCTACCCCAGAGTCGCTCTGAGGACCGAAGGCCGGGACGGGCGCATGCAGACCAGGGCCCGGAAGACGCGCAGGCCGAGAACAACGCTACCGACGTGATTATCGCGAGGACCCTTTGCACTGCACTGCATAAAAAACGGAACAGCAAGTTGGACCTCACGCAGAGCCACCAGAGGCCGCGAGTCTGCAGGGCGAGGCCTCTGAGAGGAGCCGAGTGCCCCCCAGGGGTCCTCAGGAGAGTCACCGGAACCTGGGAGGGGCGGGCGCCTTCAAAACACAAGGGAGAGGCCGTAAACCCAATGTCATCATAGGGGACCAAACAGATGTTCTGAACCACCTTGGGGAAGACCATCTGAAATGGGAAGAATATTCTAAATGAGGGTCTCTTTCAAGTCTGGGAAGATGGTCACTTTTGATGACTCTAACTTTCAGAACAAAAACCTTTCGGGAACTGGAAACCAAGCACATCTACAACCCTGGCACCTAATATAAAGCCCTTTCCAGTTTCATGTTACTTCCAGTCTCCTCAGAGGGTGGTCTTAGGGTGTTGTCTTTGAGGGAAGCCTGGGGAACAGGTGTGGGGGGGGGG